TCCTCTCTCTCTTCACTCTCTATTCAAATCTACTAACTCTCTTCTCCTCTCCCTCTCATGCATATACTTACCATTCTTATCCTCTCTCTTTTCACTCTTTATTCAAATCAACTAACACACTTCTCTATCTTCTCTCCCTCTCATGCATATATTTACAATTCTTATTATTTCTCTTTTCACCCTCTATTCAAATCTACTAATTCTCTTCACCCCCCTCTCTCTCTCATGCATATACTTACCATTCTTATTCTCTGTTTTTCACTCTCTATTCAAATCTACTAACTCCCTTCAGTTTCTTTCATCTCTCATGAATATACTTACCATTCATATTATTTCTCTTTTCACCCTCTATTCAAATCGACTAACTTCCTTCACACTCTCTTCTCTCTCTCTCCCATGCATATACTCACTATTCTCTCTCTTTTGCCTTCTCTTTTCAAATTTAACTCCTCTCTCTCTGTTATCCATATACTTATCATTCTTATCCTCTCTATACATACTCATTTCAAATCTACTTATCCCCCCCTCTCTCTCTCATTTATATACTTTATATTTTAATTCTCCCCCTTCTTTATTTCATTTGCTTCCTTGGATATATGCACTCCTAACTTCTGTGTATTTTTAGTCAACGAATTTATTCTACAAGTTTCTACGAATAAGTGCATTTTGACTGCTCCTCTGTTGCAGCCTTGTATCAGACTTAATTAAGTAATTGTTTACATACGTCGCTCGCCGTAGGGTGGTCGTAAGCAAACGTCGTTTCTCTAAAATTACGTTGACTAGGAAAACAAAAACATATATTTTTTTTTCATACCAGTTCTCGCATTGCGCCACCAACACTATAAACATTGGGAGATATTATGAATAACTTCTTATATTTTTATGTGATAAAGTGCTACGCTGTCTGAGCTCTGATATGAAGAATTTTATGTTTTTTTTAAACCAGTTTTCATTATTTTATTGATGTTTTCTATTTAAACAATTAAAGTCAGATTTTCCCCCAAAGGATAACAGCATGGCTGATGTACTTGCATTATTTACATTGTTTGGACTGTTATCCTCATCTTCATTGCCATATTCAAAACGTTTCGGCCGGTGTACGCTGCGGCCTTCTTCAGGTGATAAGAATTTCGAACCGAAACCTTTATTTCTTCCCCACATGGCCCAGTGGAAAAAGATGTTGGTTAGAGCCCGTCACTAAACCGAAAGTGTTGTGAGTTCAATATCAGGCCACTGATGGTGAAAAAAACAAAAAAAAAAAAAAAAAAACAATAAAAAAAACTTGGAAAGTTGAGTTAAAGGGAAATAACTGAGATATCCGAAAGAGGCATGGCACGTGGAACTAGAACAATCTACCCTGGTGGACGAAATAAAGGGTTCGATCGAAATTACAATCACTTGGAGAAGGCCGGAGCGTACAACGACCGAAGCGTTGTGAATATGGCAATGAAGATGGGGATAACAGTCCGAATAATGTATGCAATGCAAGTAATCTTAATACCTCATCTCAGGGATATAGACAGATATGGATGAGGTACTTTAGTCTGTGACTATATGTCAATGATCCCACAAAATATAGGTTTAATTCTCGATAAGGGAATAAAAACTGTTGCAGTAAAATGTTGATCAAATGAGTGTGTGTGAACAAGTCTCTTCGGGACTCCATACCTACTCGCTACTGTATTCTTAATGATCAATAAAAAAAATCTTATGAGATTTTATATTCGATCCTAAGTCGGCAGGTAAGCCGTTAATTGAGGACTAGCTGCATACCTGCTGGCATTTAAAGACCACCAGTAAACAATGTGCATGTAAGAAAGGCCGAGCAAGAAAATAAATAAAACGTTGCGATAAAAATCAAGTATGAGTATGAGTGTGCAATGTCAAATATATTTGTTTATATTTTTGAGATGAGATATTCTTCAGGTGGTTGGAATGTTGAACTGAACCCTTTATTTCGCCCACTGGGGTAAACTGTTCTAGTTCCACGTGCCATGTCTAATGGATGTCAGTTATCAGTTATCTCCTGTTAATTTCGTTCTGAAAGTTCTCCACTGCCTTAACCAGGTATTGAACCTCAAGGACACATGACACAATGGATAAAGGCGTTGATTAGATCCAGTGACAGGACCCAAAGAGTGTGAGTTCAATACCCGGTTAGGGCAGTGGAGAACTTTCAGAGGGAAATTAACAGGAGATAACTGATAACTGACATCCAATAAAAACATGGCACGTGGAACTAAACAGTCTACCCCAGTGAGCGAAATAAAGGGTTCAGATCGACATTCCAACCACCTGAAGAAGGCCGGAGCATACAACGGCCGAAACGTTGTAATAAATATGGCGACAAAGATGAGGACGATAGTCCGAATAATGTGAATAATGCCAAATATATTGATTTGTTTTTTACGGTTTATCAACTCTTTGCAAGTTATTTAAAGCCAGAAAATATTTTTAGATTGTAAGAACTTTTTTTGGAGATAATAATAATTTACTGATAGAATTCCTAATTATTAACCCATATCTGGGAGTGGATAGGAGAGGTGGGTTCATGCCTTTGCCAAGGGTATTTGCGCGTAAGGGAATATAATGAAACCAACTGGAATTGCAACTCTGCTCCCCGATTAACAATTAAGAGCCGATAACCGTTACAGCACACACACATCCAAGATTAGCTAGCATTCTCAAGTCGTCATCCATATAGCTACTCATTAGGCTCGACGTTGCTTAACTTCAGTTATCCTACAAGAATCGGTCTAATACACGAATACATTACTTAGATAGGACATTAGTTAATTATATATACTATTTCTACTTAGAAATTTAAATTAAAGCAGTGATATGAAGAAGACTAGAAGGAAATGTATAATGACATTTATTCAACTGAAACTTGAGACAATGTAAAACGATGCAATCTTTTATAAGCCGTGTCCATTCAAGACGTGGACAATCTGGGTTCTCCTGTCTCTTGATGTTCGAAATAACTACGCTTTATTATTTTTGCCCTGGTTCTACAATCCATTCATACGAAATCGTTAAGTTTGGTTTGCTAAGCTTTTCTTGCCTTGTGAGTTTTAGATTCTCCTGGCCCTCTTTTCTCATAATTACTGATGTCAATTATCAGTTTTTTTGTAGTTAATATTTTCTTTAAGACTTTTGTCAGAAGAACAACATTTCTTCTTGATCTGTAGAGAAATTGTTTGGCATTCACTGCCATCGAAAAGAACTACAGAAGTCACTTGATTGGAGGCATTGTATTCAGTTACTGGCGTAATAATCTTTTGAAATCCGAGAATGTACTGGCATAACCAAAACAGAAAAATAGAAAGGGAGTTATTAAAGGGCATAATAAATGTAGACACATTAGGGAAGAGAGAGGGGGAAAGAGAGAAAGAAAGAAAAAGAGAGAGAAAGAAAAAGAGAGAGAAAGAGGAGGAAATGATGGATATAGACGGACTAGAAGAGAGAGAGAGAGAGAGAGGAGAACATGGTGGATATAGACCGATTAGAAGTGTGTGTGTGCGTGTGTGTGTGCGTGTGTGTGAGAGAGAAGGACATGATCGATATAGACAGTTTAGCAAAGAGTGAGCAGCACAAAAAGAGAGAGGAAAAGTTATAGATATATATAGACCGATTAGCCAAGAAATAGACAGATACATAGATAGATAGATAGATAGATAGATAGATAGATAGAGAGAGAGAGAGAGAGAGAGAGAGAGAGAGAGCAAGAGAGTATGCGTTAATCTGAGATGCCTGTATAGAGATAACATATATAAAATTGTGCGTGAGAAAGAAAGAAAGAAAGAAAGAAAGAAAAGGAGCATATTTCTACTCGTGGCGAGTATAGATAAAGAAAGACAGAGAGGGCGAGATAAAAAGTAAGACATGATTTCTAGATAGATAAAAAAAGAAAGAATGAAAGAACAAGAAGCATATATCCGAGATGGATAAAGATAAACAAATACAGAGATTGAGTGCGTGAGAGAGAAAGAGAGAGAGAGCGAGAGAGAGAAGGAGAGAGAGAGAGAGAGGGAGAGAGAGAGAGAGAGAGAGAACATGAATGACTAAGAAAGAGAGAGAGAGAAAGAGACAAATAAATGTTTTCTATCTGAGATGGATAGAGATTAAGAAACAGAGAGAGAGAGAGAGGGTGAGAGAGAGTGAGAGAGTGCATAAGTGGCTGACAGAGAGAGAGAGAGAGAGAGAGAGAGAGAGAATGTGGGGAAAAATCTTTTCTACTGCAGATAGATAAATAGGCTAATAGAGAGGTAAATGGGTGAGCGAGTGAGAAAGAGGAATAGAAATTGAGAGAGACAAATGGAAAGAAGCAATGTAAGATAAATAGAAAGAGAGAGAGAGAGACAGAGAGACAGAGAGGGAGAGGAAGTGGGAGATATAGTAAAGAAAAAGAGAAGTGAAATAGCAAAAAAAAAAAATCGCCCATATTCATACAAATAAACAAAGACAGAGAGAGAGAGAGAGAGAGAGAGAGAGAGAGAGAAAGAAAGACACAGGGAGAAGGAAAGAAAGAAAAAAGAAAGAAAGAAAGAAAGAGAGAGAGAAAGAAAGAAAGAAAAAGAGAGAAAGAAAAAAGAAAGAAAGGAAAAAAGAGAAAGAGAAAAAGACAGAGAGAAAGATAAAGCGAAAGAAAGAGAGATAAAGAGGGAAAGAGAGACAAAGAAAAATAAATCAAGAATGAAAGAGAGAGATCAAGAGAGAAAGAAAAGAAAGAATGAGAGCAGAGAGAGAAAGAAAAAGAGAGATAAAGAGAGAGAAAGAAATAGAAAGAAAGAGAGACAAAGAAAGAAAGAAAGAACGAAAGAAAGAAAGACAAAGAAAGAAAGAAAGAGATCAAGAGATAGAAAGAAAAGAAAGAATGAGAGCAGAGGGAGAAAGAAAAAGAAAGAGAGAGATAAAGAAAGAAAGAAAGAAAGAAAGACAAAGAAAGAAAGAATGAAAGCGATCAAGAGAGAGAAAGAAAGCGTGAAATAAAGGAGAAATTAGAGAGAAGGAAAAGTAAGACCAACAAGCGGTATTAAATACTCACTCTCTTTTTGTATGTAAAGCGAATTGTAGCTGCCGGCCAACATGGCAGTAAAAAATGGCGTATAGCAGGCAATAAAACAGGCGACCACTGAGAAGGTCAGTTTGATGGTCTTAATTTTCGATTTAGAAACACCTTGGCAAATGGCACGTGGATTTCTAACAGCGTTCTTGTCGTGCATATTCGAGTACTTCTTCACCTGGTTCTCTGACGGCTGTGACGAAATGCGGCACTTGTTCGTCTTGCGGATGTAGCGAGACGATGCATTGTTACTAATCGACTGGACGCATTCCCTCCCTCGCATGCTCTGCCATACGACATAGCAGATCCGTCCATAGAAGAATATGAGCAAGAGAAGCGGCACAAAAAACACTGAGCAGAAGGCCCACCAGCTGTAGGCCAGCACATCCAGTTCACTTGGGAGGTTCGGATTGCACTGGTAACCCTCGCCATATTTAACCAGTTTCACGTTGAACTGTGGAGTTGAACAGAGAAGGGCACACAACCAAGCCCCGGCCGTCATCATATGCACGCGTTTGTTAGTCCATATATGCGCAGTCAGAGGATGGCAGATCGAAATGTAACGATCAAGGGCGGTGATGATGAGGACAAAGGATGAGGCATACAGCTCGACCACAGTTATAAAACGATAAATGCGGCAAACGGGAACGTTGTTTGGAAAATAAAAGAACACCTTGTGGATGGTGGTCGGTAGGATGTGGAAGAGAGCGACAGAGATGTCCGTGACGCTAAGGTAGACGATCAGTAACTGCATCCGGGTGAGCGTCGTGTGTTTCAGTTTCAGTACAATTAGGACGACTGAGTTGCCGAAGAGTGCCAGAAAAAACAAAAGAGACAAAACTGCGATTTCAATTTTCGCTAATTCCTCATTGCGAAATTGATTCGGTCCCGTGATATTGGAAGAATTGATGTTTGTCCCTGAAGTTCCCAGATTGAACAGCAGATCTTCAGTTGAATTTTCCGAAATCTCCATCGTTAATTACCGACGTTTCTAGAAAGACTCTGGAAAAGATAAAATAATAATAATAATAATAACAACGACAACAAGATTAAGGAACTAGACCAAGATGATATATACAAATACTTAGGAATATTTTTACAAAAATGATCAGTGGAAAATGTCATGAAGCCAAACCTAACCTTAGGTCTCCAGCTGGAACCCTAAGCAAATATGTATAAAAGACAAATTAAAGGTAAATAATAATAATAATAATAATAACCGCATCATGGCCAATACTCTGTCCGTACCAAACAAGATGATGTAGACAAAACCCGTGCCTATCAGTGGCTTCGTAGTGCAGGGTTGAAAGCTGAAACTAAAGGTTTTATCCTTGCTGCACGGGACCAATGCTTGCTCACTAGGAATAATCAAGCACATATACTAAGATATTGTGTCAGCCCAAAATACAGATTCTGTGATAAATATCCAGAAACGATTCATCATCTTGTATCAGGTTGCACGATAATGGCACCTACTGAATATAAAACCCGGCATGACAGAGTGGGCCAATATCTGCACTGGAAAATCTGCAACTTCTCCGGGAAGGAGACTGAAAGAAAATGGTATGAACACCACCCAAACCCGGTTACGGAGATAGGACCCGTTACAATTCTATGGGACGACACAATACACACTGACAGAACAACCAAAGCCAACCGCCCAGATATTGTTATTAAAGACCACAAACAAAAAAAAGTGCCTCCTTATTGATATGGCAGTCCCTGCTGACTGCAATGTATCTTTGAAGATATTCAAAAAGCTGTCAAAATACAAGGACTTTGAAATAGAAATCTCAAAAATGTGGCATATGGGAACATCAACAACCCCTGTTGTAGTTGGAGCCCTAGGACTGGTTGGAAAAGTTTGCAGTTGACTAATTGAAGGGATTCCTGGAAGTCAATGCCTCAAGGAGATACAAAAAAATGTTCTGACAAATACAGCCCACACTTTACGAAGGGCTTTATCTATGTAATATTTTTTTTTGTCAGTGGAAAGTGTCATGACGCCATTTCTAACCTTAGGTCCCTGGGCGGGACCCGGAAAGAAATGTGTATACGCCAGAAATCAAAGAAAATAAAAATAATAATAATGATAATAATAAGATGGAGTTCGGAATCGAGAAATGTGCCAAAGCCACCTTCAAAGGCGATATTCTAATGAATACTACGGATTTAGATCTTGATATCAACAACTAGACCAAGATGATACATACAAGTACTTAGGAATTAATGAAGGAGACGGAATACAATATTCAATTATGAAGAAAAAGATCCGAGAAGCATATTATAGGAGAGTGCTTTTGATACTAGAAAGCGAACTTAATGGGGTCAATAAAATGAAGGCTATCAACACTTTAGCTATACCAGAAGTAACGTACAACTTCAACATTATTAGATGGAAATTGAATGACATTAAAACATTGAACAGCAAGACCAGAAAAATGCTTATCCAAATGAGGATGCAACTTCCGAAATCAGATGTTGATAGGCTGTACGAACCAAGAGCTTTAGGAGGCCGAGGTCTAACCCAACTTGAACTACCTCTAAAATCTACAACAAGCATACCTCAGTAAAACCAATGAAACTCTCCGGCACAAAGTAAAAAAAAAAAAACCAAATCGACTCCATCATCAAAGAAACTGCACTCTTCAAGAAACAGTTTAATATACCAGAAAGCCTACCAATAAAAAACGAAGCAAATACCATCTACGCCAAACGAGTAAAACAGAAAGCAAAACAATTTGGCCAAATGAAATTATAAAAATCTGGGAGGACAAGGCGTTGCATGGAAAACACCTAAAAACAACGAAAGAAGCTGATGTGGACGAACAGAAAACACATCATTGACTGAGGAGTACCGGGTTGAAAGCTGAGACAGAATGCCTAATTATTGCAGCTCAGGACCAAAGCTTCCTAATCAGATCCTATCAGCGTCACATTATCAAGGATGGAACTAATCCGAAATGTAGGATCTACGGAAAATATGAAGAAATTGTCGACCATATTATCTCAGGATGTCCGGAACTAGCAAAAAATGAATATACCCACAGACATAACAAGGTAGCGACATTTGTGCCCTGGATGATATTAAAAAAAAGCATAAAATCAAAAACATTGAGACATGGTATGAGCAACGACCAGACCCAGTTAGCCAAAATAACGATGTAACTATCCTCTCGGATATGCCAATTCAAACTGACAGGGAAATAAAAGCCAACAGGTCTGATATTACCATAAAAGACAAGAAATTCAGGAAGTGAATGTTTACTGACATAGCAGTACCATCTAGGAGAAACAGCTCCATAAAAAATGATCAAGAAATTGACCAAATACAAGATTGAGATTAACGGGATGTGGGGAATGAAGTCTGAGACTGTACCAATAGTAATCGGAGCTCTGGGCCTTATGAGAAAACGAACGCACAATTTTACAGTGTCCCAGGTAACATCAACATACAAGTTGCCCAGAAGATCGCCCTATTAGGAACATCCCATATACTAAGAAAAGTGCTATCACTTAAATGACAATTCTCCTATAGGGCCTAAGTACCATAGTTTGAAGCCGGCCCTACAGGACACAAAGCAGGAAACAACATACACAAATAATAATAATAATAATAATAATAATAATTAATACGGCAGTCCCAGCTGATTGTAATGGCTTTTTGAAGATCTTCAAAACACTATCGAAATATGGCATATGAAGACATCAATAATTCCAGGCATAGTTGAAACCTTCGATTTGATTGGAACAGGTTATGACAAACTCATTGAAGAGATTTCTGGTAGTCCATAGCTTAAAGAAATACAAAAAAATGATCAGTGGAAAATGTCATGAAGCCATTTCTGGCTTTAGGTCTCTGGCTGGGACCCGGGAGGAAATGTGTATACAACAGAAACTCAAGGAAATAATAATAATAATAATAATAATAATAATAATAATAATAATAAGACCTTGAAATAGAAATCTCGAAAATGTGGCATATGGGAACATCAACACTCCCTGTTGTAGTTTGAGCCCTCGGACTGGTTGGAAAAGATTGTAGACTAATTGAAGGGATTCCTGGAAGTCCACGACTCAAGGAGATACAAAAAATTGTTCTGACAAGTACAGCCCACACTCTACGAAGGGCTTTATTTATGTAATTTCTTTTTTTTTTGTCAGTGGAAAGTGTCATGATGCTATTTCTAACCTTAGGTCTCTGGGCGGGACCAGGAAAGAAATGTGGAAACGCCAGAAATCAAATCAAATAAAATAATAATAATAATAATAAACTAAAAATTGTACTCCAAAGTACAGCTCATACATTACGAAGAGCTTTATCTATGTAAAAATGTGTGTGATTTTAGGCTTTTTGTTCTTTTAAGAAGATTGATCCGTCGAAGATTTCATGAAGCTATTTCTGACCTTAGGTATTTGGGTAGAAACCCGGAAGGAAATGTGTATACAACAGAACCCCCCCTCAAATAATGTTAATAATAATAACAACAAAAACGACCACATCAACAACACATTCGTTCTTCTTCCGCGTGTGGAGACGTTCTTGACTTCGAATCACGGGAGATGGCTAATGCGATGGCTAATGAGTCCGATCTGAAAAATCTATTGCCGTTGTGACATGAGATACTGGGGGCTGACTCAGGCTGAGAGGCGGAACCCTCTCGATCTTTCCTTTTCTGGTGTCTCAGTTCTTTGTCGCTGATACTTTTCTCTTCAAAATCAGACACTCCGTACTTCACAAGGGAGCACCAGACAGCACGGTCCTCAGCAGACTCTTCCCAAGAGTAATGCTTAAGAGACTCCTTCAGCGTTGCTTTGTAAGGTTTCTTTGGTCTGCCTAGTGAGCGCTTACCTGGGGATAAGCTCGCCATAGAGCAGTCTCTTTTCGCGGCGACAGTCGTCCATGCGACGGACGTGACCAGCCCACCGGAGCTGATAGCGTAGTAGGATGGCACGGATGCCCTCAACAACCACAACAATAATTATAGTAGTAGAAGTAGTCGTCTCGATAAGCCGTAGAAAACGATTCAATGAATAGGAAAATACAAAGCGCAAGGGGATAAATTGTCGTCTAAATTACACCAAAATATAAATCATCATTTTAACAGATATGTTTACCAACATTACACAAAAATATCTCGACATAATAAAAAGAGAAACATTATTCAATAAAATCTCCATTCCTTTCAACGACGGCCTCCAGACAACTTCAGAACCTTCAGCAACTCTTCTAGACGGTCTCCTTGTTTAACTTGGTGAATGCTGGCATAATCCTTGCCTTCAGATCATCTTTAGTGTTACAAGAAATTTTGTTGGTCTCTTGCTCAACTGCGTCCACATATAATAATCAAATATGTTGCAGTCTAGGGAGTTAGGTAGCCAGATATAAGGGGTGCTGTGGTCACAGAAATTACTTGACAGCCATAACTGGGTTCCCCTGCTTGTGTGGCATGGGACAGACTCCTATTACCAGACTTAGGGTCTTCCTATATCCACCTTCTTGACCCAGGGAAAACTACCTCCTTAAGGAACTTGATATAGGCTTCCGTATTGAGTCTGAGGCCCTGTGGGAAGTCGAATGGAGGCATAACGTCGCGATTAATCCAAACACCATGATATTGACTGGATATATCATCCAAATTTTTTCGGAATGATCTGCACCAAAGTATTTGAAACCCTATGAAATGTTCGTATTGCAACTTTCAGCGCGGATGCCAAGCAATATAACATGCCATTTCCAAAGTGTGAATTGCG